AAGAATTCAAGGCTTTTTAGCCTGACCTGGCGTATTTCCCAAGCACGCGTTTCCCAGGTACAAAGGGAAAATTATTAAGACTTGTCACAGGTGGTTTATTGCTGACCCACAAATGATGAAAAAGCCCTTTCATGGATCGTTCTGGCCTGAATTCTTCAGATGGGCATTTTGGGGAGGGAGCATAGCAGCCTGTCCTTTTGATTTCCTGGCCCAAACCAAAACACGCGGCCGACTCAGGAGCCCCCACTCCCCGGCCTTCCGCCCCCTTCTCCGTTTCCATTTGGTAGAGTTAATTTATTTGTTCATTCATTCACCTGAACGGGTTTCTTTTGCTGCTGCTGCTCTGACCTCTGGATATTCTGACCTGAAGTCTCAGAGCACCCCCTCCCCCCGACTTCTGGCTGTTGGGGACAATGAGACTCAAGACCCCCAAATCCTTTCTGATCGGACGATATGGAGTGATTCTCTTGAACGGAGGTTTGGATCCGTCAGGATAAGAAGTAACCTCATTTCATGTCCTCTTGTTTCGCAAAGACATGCATTGGTCTCTCCTGACCCCTGAAATGTGTGTCCCTGCTGCATTCGAGAAGGGTCGGGGAGCACCCCAATGCCAAACCAGTCTCTTCTCCGTAGGACCTTGGGGATTTCTGTTAGAAAGGAGCTTCAGATTAACGCTGTGAGCCAGAGAGTGGAAGGTGAGAATCAGTGACCCGCCCCCTTGGTAGGGCTCAGGTCCTGGGGGCACCAGTCCCCAGAGAGACCAGGGAGGTTTTAATGAGGAGGTTGGACCCAGGGTGGGGAGCAGCAAGCCTGGTGGTGGCTCGTTCCTTCGCTCCCCTGAGGGGTTCGCTGCAGAAGAAATCGAGGTTGGAAGATGTTTGCCTACAGGTGTATTTCACCCATCAGCGGCACTTATCAGTGCTCACCATTTCGGAATTACAGACCGGCTGTCCCTCCAGTACAGCCCTGAGGGTCCCTGGCGAGGGGGCTGGGCTGGCCCAGGCGGGAACTGCCACGTGCTCTTGGAAGCCACTGCCGGGTTCCGCATTCTTCCCATTGTAGTTAAGAGCAGGCTTTGGGGGCGTTAATGCATTTCCATGAAGCCCACTACCACTGACCTTTCACATCTGTTCAGAACAATGAAATGGGTTTTTGAGGGGCAGTGTAGCAGCAGCTTGAAAACAAGAATGAAAAAAACCCCTTTCACTGACAGTCACGGTTGAAGGCATCTCGAGAAGAATTTTTCTTTGTTACAGAATTGGTGTGTAAAGGAGGATGTAAACTTAGGGTTTTTTTTGGCTCGTGTGTACCTATGTATTTGTAATATGTTGTGTTGAGATACGTGTTTACTTAAAATTAAAAGAGGGGCACCTGGGTGGCTCAGTTGGTTCAGCGTCCAACTTTGGCTCAGGTCATGAGCTCATGGTTTCTGAGTTTGAGCCCCGCGTCGGGCTCTGTGCTGACAGCTCGGAGCCTGGAGCCTGTTTCGGATTCTGTGTCTCCCTCTCTCTGACCCTCCCCCATTCATGCTCTGTCTCTCTCTGTCTCAAAAATAAATAAACGTTAAACAAAATTTTTTTTTTTAAAAAATGAAAAGAAATGCAGGTACATGAGGAAGATGTTTCCGTGGTACAGAGAGAGAGAGAGAAAGTAGGAGATAGAAGTATTGCCCATCACACGTGTCACCCTATAAACAGTGTACGTGGAGATGCGATCATTTTGTGTGTGTCCAATCTTCACTGATCATTTTAGACTTGGAGAGATGATTGTTTGCAGGTAAGACAAGCCCTATGGAAAGAGTCATTGACTCAGACCAGTCAATGAATGGTTTTTTTCAAAGACTGATGCAGACTATTAGCAAACAAGACAAAAAACAGTCATTGCTAGACTAGCCCTTCCTTTGCAGGAGGAGGTCAGTGTGACAGTATCTTCTGTCGGTCAGAGGGGAAAGCTAGTCCATGGGAATCCTGGTTGACTTGTTCTGACATAATTCGAGCAGAGTAGAGTTTCTTGGAGACAAACCTCTTGTTCCAGCATAAATCCAGTTACTGGCCACAACAGAAAGCCGGTTAGGTATCTGAGCAGAACCCACTGAGGATGCCTACACGGAATGTTTAGGGCTGGGACAGAAATGGAAAAGAAGCCACCTGGCGGGAGTGGGGAGGGGGGGGGCAGAGCGGAGCTAGAACCCCGGTTTGATCTGTGCCCCCCCCGCCCCTCCCCGCTCCAGGGAGTAGTAGGGCAGCCCAGGAGAGCCTGGGGGTTCCCGAAACGGGAGTAGCAGGTGTCTGCCTGTGCAGAATCTCTTGGTAGAAGGAAGCGGGAGCTCCGGAAGCATCCTGGTAAGGCAGAAGCTTGGGCAACTGTGATCCCCCGGGAAGGTGACTCTCGGTGCCCTCCGCCCCTGCAGGGACACTGAAATACTGCACAGTTACTTACACGGTGATGGCCCCTTGTGACCCACCACCCAGCTGAAAGATAGTAAAGCATCTCAGAATTAGCACCTCCTGGGCACCCCTTTCTCTGTCACCCTCTGTCGCTCCCCAGGTCTGCTCTGTCCTAAAAGCTGCCTCCTTTTCCTTCCCTAAAAGTTACGCTTTATAAGAAGAAAGGGGGAGGGCGTGCCTTTTCTTTTCTAGACTCCATCCTCTCGGGCTTGGTTTGGAATAAAATGGCGGCTTGTTGGGCATTAAAATTGGAAGCGTCTTGTGTGCGTTTCCTGTCGTTGGCTGTAGCAAATTGCTGCACTTCTGCTGTTTGGAAACACTACAAATTTATCACAGTCCTGTAGGTGAGAGGTCCGATCCAGGGCTCACCAGTCGTCCCGGGCGCCTCTGTTCCTCCCGGAGGCCCCAGGGGTGAATCTGTTGCCTTGCCTTTCCCAGCAACTAGACGCTACCCTGTTCCTTGGTTTATGTCCCTGCCTCTCTCTTCAAAACCGATGCCATCTCCTCTCTCTGACCCTCCCTCTGCCCTCAACTATCCTCTCTGGCTGCGGCCAGGAAAGTTCTGCCTTTTGAGGACCGCTGTGATTACATTGGGCCCACCTGCATAATCCATGAGTGGCTCCTGATGGCTAGGTCCTTAACCTTCATCACCCCTGCCAAGGCCATTTGGCCGTGGAAGGTAACCTGTTCACAGGTCCCGGGGTTAGGTTGTGGGCATCTTTGGGGGCCGTTTTTCTGCCTGCCACACGTCTCAACTTTCTGCCGGTGACAGTGTGTCGGGTGGATGCCTGAGTGCGGCCAGGCACCACCGAGGATGGGCCGATGAACTTGTACCCCAGTCTAGGCCCCTGTGCTTGTAGGGCAGGCCCCCAGCTGATCTGGGGTTGGCCGTTTCCATTAGACCCAGGATTAGATCCCATGTCAGGCTGTCACTGCTTTCAGCCGGGAGCCTCCCACCTTGCTTGCTTCTCTGAGTCTGGTTTTTCATATCCACTCAGGTGGAGTGGGTCATTCTTAGCTCAGCGGGCTCTCTGCTGGGCATGCGGGGTGGCCCTGTCATTTAGGCTGTGTCTGTCAGGCACCCCGTGGGCTCTCCACACGCTCTTGTGCCTCCTTCCTGTGGCAGTGGGGGAGGGGGGAAGGGCAAGTCCGGGTGGGCACCCAGCACTGTCCAACCAACCCCTCCCCAGCTCCCCTCTCTGTTGTTTTCCTTTTCCCCTTGTATTTCCTTCTCTTCCTGGAGGCCCCTGGCCAGGTCCACAGGCTTTTATTTTTTACTACTGTTTTTTAATGTTTGTTTATTTATTTGAGAAAGAGGGAGCGCATGCATGAGCAGAGGAGGGGCAGAGAGAGAGGGAGAGACAGAGAATCCCAAGCAGGCTCCGTCCGTGCTGTCTGTGTACAGCCCAGTGTGGGACTCGGTCCCATGAACGGTGAGATCATGACGGGCCGAAATCAAGAGTCAAGGGCTTAACTGACTGAGCCACCCAGGCGCCCGCAGATTCACAGGCTTTTAAATTTTTTTTTTTTTTTTTTTTTCAACGTTTATTTATTTTTGGGACAGAGAGAGACAGAGCATGAACGGGCGAGGGGCAGAGAGAGAGGGAGACACAGAATCGGAAGCAGGCTCCAGGCTCTGAGCCATCAGCCCAGAGCCCGACGCGGGGCTCGAACTCACGGACCGTGAGATCGTGACCTGGTTGAAGTCGGACGCTTAACCGACTGCGCCACCCAGGCGCCCCCACAGGCTTTTAAAACACGCAAAGTAATTGTTTATATTTAAAGGGAGATCTCAGGCACAGGTCCAGATTTCTGTTCTTTTCTCGAGAAACCAGAAGCTCTGGCCATCCGGGGCCGCGCCCCCCTGGGGGTAGTCTCCTCCATCAGCGCAGCGCACGCTGGGCGGGCTCGTTCGCCAGGCAGCTCCAGGTTACCCCCCCGGCCTGGCAGCTCAATCAGTAGCTTCCTCCAGCGCCTGTTTCCTCTTCCGTGTAGACTGGGGTCCTCACCCGCGGGCAGGACTGTCTTCTGGGGCTGCGGGTAAATCTCTGCTGTGTGTTGGGATGTCTGACAGCCCCTCACGGTGGAGGCCAGGAGGTGCGGGTACACGCCCCCTTCTCCAGCTGCGACCACCGGCAGTGTCCCCGGACGTGGCCGCACATCCCCTCGGGGGCAGAGCTGCCTGGCTGAGAAGGGCCGTGGACACCTACCCGGTTGCTTACTCGCGAGGCTGCCTGTTGCCGTGGGCTCCGTGCAGGTGTCGCAGACGCGGTCGCTCCCGACCCTCTGTGCGTTCCCTCTGCCACGGCCCTGGCATGCAGCCTGCCTCTGGGCCCGGAAGAGAAGGTGAGTTGTACCGCGCCGAGGGCAGCTGGGAGGTGGGAGCGCCCGCAGGCCGGGAGGAGCGAGGCCGTCGTCGTGGGCCGGCCCGGCCTCCCCGGGGCCCCAGTGGCTGCCTGTTCCATTACCACTTCCACCCTTGTGTTCATTTGCTTGACCTGTGAGCCGGGGCCCTGGGCGGCGTGTCTGATTTCGACCCTGTGTCCCGTTTAGGTGGCCCTCGTACAGTGGACCGAAAGTGTGGGGCTGACCCTGGTGGGCCGGGACCAGTCTTCCATGCAGCTGAGGACCCCTGGCGACCAGATCCTGAACTTCACCATCTTACAGATCTTCCCTTTCACCTACGAAAGCAAGCGCATGGGCATCATCGTGCGGGTGAGTTACCCTCCTTCTGACTTCAAGTGAGTAAATAACTCAAGCGGGCTGGCTGCTTGTGCCCCTGTAGTTCCGCGTCCTTTCTTAACCCTTTCCTACCCTCTTGATCGTGACGTCTGTTGTCCAGACTCAGAAGAGAATGTAATTGCCTGAGCAGAAACGATATCAGTCCCTCAGGCGGACAAGACCTCGGAGAGCTGATCGGCTTCTGGTTAACCTCGTTCTAGACTAGGGAAAGGTCTGACGTATGCAGATGGGGCGTTTCTTGGTAATAATACATTTCTCATTGTGTACGCTTTTGTTGAACCCAACATACCTCTCTCGAGGTGAGGTTGACATCAGCGAACCATTTTGAAGTGAGTAACTCAGCGGCATTTAGGACTGCCGTCAAGTTTCAAAACATCTTTGTCACCCTAAAAGGAACCCTCCTACCCATGAAGTAGCGGCCCCGCATTCTTCTAGTCCTGGAACCACCGCTCTGCTCTCCATCTCTAGGGATTTACCTACACCGGATGGTTCGTGTAACTGCATTCCTGTGACACGTGACCCATCCGGCATAATGTTGTCTAGGTTCATTCACTTTGTAGTAGGCATCAGAACTCCATTCCTTTTTTTTTTTTTTTTTTTTAATGTTTATTTATTTCTGAGACAGAGACAGCATGAGTTGGGGAGGGGCAGAGAAAGAGGGTCGAGATGCAGAATCTGAAGCAGGCTCCAGGCTCTGAGCTGTCAGCACAGAGCCCTGTGCGGGGCTCAAACCCACGAACTGCGAGATCATGACCTGAGCAGAAGTCGGACTCTCAACCGACTCAGCCACCCAGGTGCCCTGAACGCCATTCCTTTTTATGGCTGCATCTGTTGAAAGACACTTGGGTTGTTTCCACCTTTTGACTGTTGGGAATGGTGCTACTTTGAGCATTCGTGTACAAGGATTTGAAGATCTGTTTTCAGCTCTTTGGGGTATATACTTAGGAGTGGAGTTGCTGGGTCCTGCTGGGTCCGTTACCCACTTGCTGGATAATTCCATCTTTTAGCTTTATGAAGAACCTCCAAATGGTTTTCTGTCATGTTGCACCATTTTGCGTTCCGCCAGCAATGTAGGAAGGTTCCGGTTTCTCCACATCTTCGCCAACACTTTTTATTTTCCTTCTTCACTATTTTGATTAGAGCCATTTTTGTGGTTGCAAAGTGGTACCTCGCTGAGGTTGTGATTTGCATTAACTTTATGACTAACGATGTTGAGCATATTTTCATGTGCTTATTGGCCGATTTTATATCTTCTGTGGAGAAATGCGTATTCAAATCCTTTGCCCGCCTTTTAATTTGGTTGTCTTCATTGTTGAGTTGTAAGTGTTCTTTATATAGTGTGGCTATTAGACCCTTATCAGAGAGATGCTCTGCAAATATTTTCTCTTTCTCTCTAGGTTGTCTTTTTATTTTTATTTTTTTGTCTTTTCACTTTCTTTGATAAAATTTCTTTGATTCACAGAAGTTACTAATTTTGGTGAAGCCTAATTTATCTATTTTTTTCTTTTGTTGCTCTTAGGTGTCATATCCAAGACTTTATCGTTAAATCCAAGCTCATGAAAATTTACTCCTATGTATCTTTTTAAGAGTTTTGTAGTTTTGGCTCTTTCAGTCATCGATCCCTTTGGGGTTAATTTTTGTATATGGTGTGAGGTAGGGGTTCAGCTTCATCCTCTCGCACGTGTGCAAACGTTGTTCCAGCACCATTTGGTGAAGGGACCGTTGTTTATCCACTGAGTGGCCTTGGCATCCTTGTTGTAATTCAGTATTTTCAATGGTTTTTCATTCGTACAGTCACTGAAGTTATCGGGAAAATACAGCGATCGTTCAGCAGCATCATTTTGTCATATTTATTTCAAATTGTGTTGTTATACATTTTGAAACTTGTATTGCAGTATAACCTACACAGAGAACCGTGCAAACATCATAAGCGTGCAGCTCAGGTGTCTACAAAGTTAGCACACCCACGTCACCAGCATCCAGAGCAAAGATCAGAATCCCACCCATTGTCACCCCAGCAACTCCGTTGTGCCCCTTCCTGATCACCTACATCCCTCTCTCTCCTCACAAGGATATGACCACTCTGTTGATTTCTACCACTGATTAATCTCTTTTTTGAGATTTTTTCTTTATAGATATCATGCAGGAGTTTCCTTTTCATGTTTGAGTACATTTGCTCAAATTTATATTTTTAAGATTCATCCATGTTTTTGTGGGTATTGTAGTTTTAAAACGTTTTTATTTTTATTTATTTATTTAAATTGTTTTAAATGTTTATTTTGAGAGAGAGAGAGACAGAGAGTGAGAGGGGAGGGGCAGAGAGAGAGGGAGACATAGAACCCAAAGCAGGCTCCAGGCTCTGAGCTATCAGCACAGAGCCTGACGTGGGGCTTGAACTCATGAACCGTGGAATCATGACCTGAGCCGAAGTTGGACACTTAACCGATGGAGCCACCCAGGTACCCCTAAAAAAGTTTTTAAAGGAATAAAACATTGTGTGTTCAACTGAAGGCCCGTCTGCCCCTCCTGGATATGCTTCCTTTCTATTCCTGCACCAAATTCAAAATTTTAATGAATTTTAAAATACTATTATCAGACATGTTTGGGTATAAGTAACGTGTATTATGGTTGTGCATATTTTTATTCTTTGTATGAGTGGCATCATATCATAATCCCACTTCCTGTTTTAAATTTTGTTAATGTTTGTTTATTTTTGAGAGAGAGACAGAGCACAAGTGGGGGAGGGGCAGAGAGAGAGGGAGACCCAGAATCCGAAGCAGGCTCCAGGCTCTGAGCCATCAGCCCAGAGCCTGACGCGGGGCTCGAATTCATGGACCATGAGATCATGACCTGAGCTGAAGTCGGATGCTTAACCGACTGAGCCACCCAGGTGCTCCAGGGGAGCTTTAAAAGTGCAGATCACTTTCATCCCATCCAGATCTGTTTTGGTCTTGGGATGGCTCCTTGGTATTTGTAAGGTTTTTCACATTATTCGGCTTGATTGGGGTAAACCCTGCTCAATCCTGGGCAACTTCAGAATGTGACTCCTCTTTTTGGTTTGGTCTTTAAAAGAAAGGAGACTCCCCTCTACCTTGATGTACCCAAGTGTGTTATGCCTGAAAGATCAAAGAGCTGTAGGTTCTATTATAGTAAGTTGGTAACAGTAGTGTGAGTACTTAGCGATCAGGGTAATTAGGAGCAGAGGTACCAGCGACAGTAGGGATGGTTTCGGCTGTAGGAACAGCAATAACGTGATGACAGGTAGCGTTTAATGATGCTCGTTGTGTGCCAGCGGCTGTTCTAAAGGATTTCCAGAAACTCACTCATTAATCCTTAGCATAAGCCAACAAGGTAGGTACCATTTTGATTGGCATTTGACAAAGGAGAAAATGGAAGGGTAGGGAGGCTCAGCATTCTCCCCACGTTCACAGAGCTGGATAATGGCAGAGCTGGGGCTGGACCCCAGGTGATATGGCCCCCAAGTCCAGGCTCTTTAACCACTATGACCTAGGAGTTTGGGTGTGGTGAGTGGGGCATCGAAAAGCTTGTGGAGCACCCCTAGTAATGCTGGAGTACTGTGTCGTGTGTTCTGCCTGGCAGATTTCCCCACACTTAGCGGTATAAAACGGTAGAAGGTAGTATCTCACGGGGTCTGTGGGCCAGGAATCTGGGTGCAGCTTCGCTGGGTCCTCTGGCCTGTGGTTTCTCACAGGCCGCTGTCATCCGGGGTTCAGCCGGGGCAGGATCCAGCTGAAAACCAGATAAAATCAGTGCTGTGGGTGGGATTCGGCTCCTTGCGGTTTTGGACGGAAGGCTTTAGTTCTCCGCTCTTTTGGTAGGAGGCCACCCTCGTTCACTGTTCCACCCGCCTCCCTGTAGGTCAGCTCCCTTGTCAGCGGGCTTCATCAGAGTGAGCAAGATGGAGGGCAGAGTCTTTGCAACCTGATGTCAGAACTGGCCTCCCATCGCTTCTGCCTTGCTTACTAGAAGCTGGTTACAGGGTCCAACCCCCACTCAGTGGGAGTGGGTCTCACCAGGGCATGGAGTATGAGGGAGTGGGGGTCATTGGAGGAGGTAGGGGTCATTGGAGGGAGTAGGGGTCATTGGAGGGAGTAGGGGTCATGGGAGG